AGGATGTGTCCTGGAAGAGGGACAGGGACCAAGGCTGGTGGCATCCCAGCTTAGGGCCCCTGAGGTACACTCAGTCCCCACCCTGAAAACACACAGAAGTCCTTAGTAACCCCTCTTGTCAGCCTGGGCTCAGTCGTGCTATCAAACCTTAATCTCCCCTTCCTCACACTGAGGTGGTGGACTGTGAATCATCACTTCGGATCCTCTATTGTTTTTGGGTCATCTGCCTCTGTTCTCCCTTCTCTTCAGACAGGAAGACTGCAGTGGGGGTTGGTGGCAGCTGATGTTGGGTATATTGTGGCCCAGGGGCTGCACCCAGGTGTTAGTGAAAGGTTTGGAAGCAAAGCCCTCCCTGAAACTGGTCAAGGAGATGTCCTTGATCCCAAAATGGATCCAGGAACACCATGGATCCTCGGTTTTTTGGCTTCCTAGTTTCTGGGGGGTATTGACTTGTTCCCCAGGAGAGGCCTGTGGTCTGGTTAGGGAGGCCAAATTCTTGCTGGAGAAGTGACCCAGGGTCCCTTCCCCATCTTGCCAAACCCCTCTGAGGGCCTTACTATGACAAGAGGGATTCTTGTGGGGGCTGTGGAAATTGGACTCCCTAGCCCAAGAGGTGGTAGTGGCAGGGGGTGTGGCATCTGCTGGATGTAGGATCTAGAAGTTCTGTCTTCTGTCATCTTCTGAAAGTGTTGCTTGCCTTCTGGGGGATGGGTGAGCATAGGGCCAGGCTCTGTTCTATATACTCTATGATGTGCTGTAGTGTGGCATCCTCACAGCAGTTCTGTAATGTGACTGTTTCAAAGAAATTCAGGTTCAGGGAAGCAAAGTGGCTTTTCCAAGGTCATGGGAGAGTCAGGATAGGGCCAGGACTAGAACTCAGGTCTTTTGACCCTGTGAGGTGATTGGAGCGGATCACCACCTTCCGAATAACTGCTTGTGGCTTACACGTGGGCTGGCAGGCATGGCCTTAGGGGATGTCCCATTTGAGTTCTGGATGTGATGTGTGTGTGCGCATATGTCTGGAGCTTTGCACCTGGCCTTGGGAGTGTCTACCTGGCTTTGAAGAGTGGAGTTAGCAGCACAGCTCAGGGGTGACAGGGATAATTTATGATGTTCACACTACCTGAGAGGCCCCCATTTGCCAATTTGCCATCACTCTAGGGACTTTTTCCCATATCCATCCACTTGCTGTGGTGGCAGGCAGATGGAATGACCTTGAACAGCTGCTCTGCCATCTCTGGGCCTCTGTCTCACCATTTTCTCCCAGTGCCTCTTCTATCTCTCGCCACTGCCACTGGTTTGCTTAGAGTTGAGACTGGGGATCAGAGTGTCCCTCAGGCTTCTCTGAAATGACTGGAGCTGTACTTCTTAGGGCTGATGAAAATAGCTATCTTGGTCTCCAGGGGCTGAGCCCGAGTTATTTCCATCCCCAACTAAGAGGTAGAAATAGCTCAGGACTGGGAGGGGGAGATAGAAGAAGGGTTAATTTACGGATTAACCTTTTCTCCTCATCCCACCCTTGTGGAGGTCCCACACTTCACCCTGTGTCCACCTGAGGCCTGTCTTTCTGGGAACTTGGATCTGCGATCAGACTTTATGATGTTGCTGGCGGAAGGTGCCGGTACCTGGCCAAGGATGGGACAGGTTGAGGCTCAGTCAGTATCCCCCCTCCTCACAGGGGTAAAAGTCAATCAGCAGGTCCTTCTCACTGCTCCCTACTGTACAAAGAGAGACTTGGTTCTGAGAATTGTAGGGATTTACCCAAGCACCCCCATCCTTGGTCTTCTGGCTGTCTCCTCTAGAATGGGGACCCCCTTCCACCCTGCCTCTCATTCCCTGGTCAGCAGGGCATGGGCCAGCATGGGAAGCAGGCCAGACACTGCTTCACAAGTCCAGGCTGTGGTTGCATTCTGGTTTGGTTCTTTTCTCTGGGACCAGACTTTTTTTTTTTTTTTTTTTTTTTCCGGAACCAGGGATTGAACTCAGGCCCTTGCAACTTGCCAGGAAGCACTTATCCTACTGAGCCATCTCCCCGGCCCCTGGCCTTATATATTTTTTTCCTTAATCTTTTTATTATTGGTACATTTTAGATATATGTAAAAATAACATTCATCATAGGGGATTTATATCTTGCTGCTTTTTTTTTCCTATTCCCCTCCCCTCCTTTTAACCCTTCTTTCTTTTCTTAGTTACAAAAGCTTGACTTTTTTTTTTATTATTATTATTATTTTTGTTTCCTTATTGTTTCTTTCCTTTCCCCCTCTCTGGCCTTATACTTTTTTTTTTAAACATTTTTATTTTTATTTTTTTAATTTTTTTTAAATTATTTATTTATTTTTATTTATTACATTTATTTATTGTGTGTGCGTGCGTGCGTGTGTGTGTGTGTGTTTTATTGTGTGTGTGTGGCCAGCTCAGTCCACCAGGGGGCGGGGCTGGCTGGCATGTGGTGCTGGGGGATCGAACCGCAGTCCCTGTGCTTTGCCAAGCTTGTTTCAAGTAGGTGCTTTAGACCACTGAGCCATCTCTCCAGCCCCTTTTTAAACATTTTTTAAAAAAATTTTATTTATGTGTGTGTGTCCAGCTCAGCCCACCAGGGGGCGGGGCTGGGGGCGGGGCTGGCTGGCATGTGGTGCTGGGGATTGAACTGTGGTCCCTGTGTTTTGCTAAGCTTGTTCTAAGTAGGCGCCTTAGACCACTGAGCCATCTCACCAGCCCTGGCCTTATACTTTTGATCCTCCTACCTCAACCTCCTGAGTAGTAGCTGAGATTGTAGGTTTGTGCCGCTACATCCAGCTGTAGGCCTAAACTCTTGTACAACTTCTCTGCCTCCATTTCCAGTCCTTCCACAGGCTGCCAGAGTGAATTCCCTAAAGTGACTTTTTTTTTTTTACAGCCTTTTTGAGACAGGGTCTCCCTATGCAGGCTAGGCTGGCCTTGAGCTCACTTTGTAGCCCTGGCTGGTCTCGAACTCTCAATGATCCTCCTGCCTCAGCCTCCCAATTGCAGGGATTACAGGCATGAACCAACATATCTGGCTTTTTTGTTTGTTTTTGTGATAGGGCCTTGCTCTATAATTCAGGCTGTCCTTAAACTCACTGTGTAACCCAGGCTGGTTTTTTAAACTCAGTGATCCTCCTGCCTCAGGTTCCTGAGTGCTAGGATTACAGGGGTGCACCACTGTACCCAGTTTGGCTCTTGTCTTTTGCCTACAAAATAGAGACCAAGCTTCTCATTTGGCCTTGAGGGCTGGCCAAATAGCTCAGCAGATTAAAGCACCTGCAAGCAGGTGCAGGGGCCCGGGATTCAATCCCTGGGCCTGCCATGTGGGCCCCGCCTCAGGGGCTCCTTGAGACGGCAATTGAGACTGGGCGTGGTGGTGCACACCTGTAATCCCAGCTCTTGGGAGGCTGTAAACAGGTGATCACTGAGTCTGATCTAGTAGTGAGACCCCTGAACATCCTGTAGACCCTTCCCTAAAATCCAAAAAAAAAAAAAAAAAAAACCAACTTTTTAGCTGGGGAGATAGCTCAGTGGTATAAGCACTGGTCTGGCAAGTGCAAGGTCCAGAGTTTGATCCCTGGTTAAAAAAAAAAAAAAAAATGGATTCAGGTCATCTTGGCCTTGAAGCCTTCTGAGACCTTTTAACCTTCCACGTTTACCTGTATCCCTCCCTGCCTGATGCTTCAGTCCTTTGTGTTCTCTAACCCTCTTTGTAGAACCCTCCTGGCCATTTCAGGTTCAGCTCAACCTTACCTCAGCCAGGAGGTCTTCTGAGCCCAGTGTCAGTTCCTCTTCATTGTCATGGTCTACCTTCCTGGTGTCTTCCTTGCCTCTGGGGTGCAGGCACAGGTGTACAGGTCACCTGTGACACTGCTTACCCAGCAGGGTGGGCAGCCTGACCAGCAGCCTGCCCTCTGCCACTGTCACATCTGTTCAGCACACTCATCCCTGAGGAAAAGTGTCAGATCCCAAGCCTTTGTGTGGAGGATAGGAGGTTACACTAGGGTCTCTGATACTCACCACAGCCTGGACTACTGCTGGGGATATGTGTCAGTCTGGTGCTTACCATGGTCTTCTTCCAACCAGGCCTTTATTCTAGGTTAGCAGAGGAAGCTGTCCCTACTGGTATCCTGCCATGTGCATCTCCTACAGCAGCATTGATGGGGGCCTCTCCTTTTGAGGTTGTTATTGGGGAGCTGAGACATAGTGGGGGGGAGCAGTCTTGGTTTGCATGACACAGCCATTGCTAGAGTCTAAACACTAGCTCTGCCACACCTGGCCTGGTCTTTAGGTGGAAGTTGAAGGTTGGGGGCATGTCTGATAATTCTGGTGTCAGCTTCCAGAGGACTGGTTTGGACTCTTGAAGTAGGAGAACTTATTGGTAGGTAGTTTTCAGCACCTGACCTATCTGGGCAGGGTATGTAAGGGAGCTGGGTAGGTGGGTGGGAGGGGGGACCTGAGAGGGAAGATTTTGCCTGAGATCACCCAGCAGAGCCGGTTCAGCCCCAACTGCCACTCAGGTTTGGTGGGTATCTGTAGTAAGCTGAACTTCTGTGTGCCAAGGCCAGTAATGGCAAACTGTTTACAGCTTTCAGTGATAACAAACAGTGGTACCCAAGAGCATGCGTGCCATAGGTTCGCCACCACTGGCCTAGGTCTAGGCTTGATGCTGCTGGATAGTGCTGGGTAGCAGAGAGCATAGGAGACTGTGCTGTGTCCCAACTATGTGCTGAACAGCTGACATTAAGGCCCTTGGGGCTGCCACATCTCAGCCTCATGTTCCCTAGTGTCACCGGTCTTCCAGATGCAGGCATGGAAACCTGGCCCTGAATGGGGAAGGCACTTGTAAGACTCCAATGTCACTGGGATCCAAACCTGGATCTGTCAGCCTTGAAGGCCAGAGTTCTTTCCTGGGCCACCCTGGGAAAGATGAGAGCTCTATAAATAAGCTGCCCACGTGGCTGTGAGATTGTGCCCTGGCTGGCTGGCACGGAGGGGGCCTGTCCAGCCAGTTAGAGGAAGGGTCTGAATGTGGTGGAGAGAGGAGTGCTGGGCTTCCAGCAGCAGGGCCTTACTACCACTTAGTGTGGGAAGGAAGAGGAGAGCAAGAGGGCCTGCAGGGCACCCCGCCTCCTATGTGCCACCAGCACTGCTTCCCTGCCACAGGGAGCCCTGCCCTTCTGGCCTGGGTCAAAGGAGGTGGAAAGCTGAGAGCCCTGCCCCAAGCCCAGCTTCCTGCAGGAGGGGGCACTGAGCTGAGGTTTGATCTCAAACTGTGAGTCCATACTGTGGTGTTATTCACAGGTAAAGAGGCACACTTGCCCCAAACTACAGAGGGAAAACTGAGGCTTGGGCAGGTGGAACTGAATCCTGATTACTTAATTGTCGTACCTCTCTACCATTCTGGCGTGGTTTCAGCTGGTGTGGAAGCAGGTGACACAGGTCTGGAGAGGACTGGGAAGTGGGCACCCACGTTCCTCCCTGGGAGGCCAAGTGAAGCACTTGTGGCACACCCAAGCTTCTGGGTGATCTTGTCTGGACACTGCTTGGTATGTCTGTTCATTTTCTTTTCCTTTCATCCTTCCTTCCTTCCTTTTCTATTTGTCTTCTTGACACAGGGTCTTACTATACAATTGAGGCTATCCTTGAACTTACTTTGTAGCCCAGGCTAGTCTCAAACTTGCAAGGATCCTCTTGCCTCAGCCTGAGGAGTGCTGGGACTACAGGTATGTGCCACCACACCCAGCTCTAGCTTGTTTCTTTTTAAAATCCCCTTCCTTTTCCCTCCCACTACTTGATTCTTCACCTGGCTTGGGAGAGGGTAAATGACCTGCCCAAGGTCACAGATCCACTAAGTGGCAGAACCACAGCTTGAGCCCACGTGGCCTCTCAGAGCCTGACCTAGTCTCACCTACTCCCAGGGCCATCGTCATACACACACAGGACAGATCTGTTGGATGGGGCCTCAGGGGAGTAACTTTCCTTGCACTCCAAGCCTGAGAGCATTGGGAGAATGGAGCACAAGGCTGTCGTCTCCCCCGGTCTGTCCTGAATCTCCTGTCCAAGTCAGCCACATCAGGGTGATGGGGGCAGGGCCTGTACTGAGCAGACTGTGCCACCTGGGGATAGTAGTGACACACTACTAGGTGTATAGCCAGGGCCAGAGGCCAGGGTAGCCTCTCAGAGAGGTAGGAGTAGCAGGAGTGGGGGCTGTAGAAGCAAATCACCCAGCCCCTTGCTGTGCTGTCCACTGACTCACGGTGCTGGGAGGTTTTGGGTAGACCAGAAGTAGCCCTTGTGGGAGCAGTAGGGATGCTAGGCCTAGGGGCGCAGAGCAAGAGCTGCCTCTGCCTCTCCAAGGTGGCAAAGCCTTGCTCCTTTGTGAGTGGTTTGTTACAGGTTACTACTTAGGCACAGTGAGCCTCAGTTTCCTTGCATGCAGAGCACAGAACCCTGTGAGAGTTCAGTGGGACCCTGGCAGAGCATGATTAGGGAGCCCTTGCTTTGCCCCAGAGATCACTCCGGTCTCACACATCCTGTCCCCTAGCCCCAGACTTGGTCCACGTGGAGGGAGGAGAGCTCAACTGTACTATACCCAGACTGGGAGGAGCTGGATGGACCTGGTCTGGCTGCCTCAGCCCTTTTCTTAGCCTCAAGGAGCCAATTAGCCTCTCCTGCCCACCTCACCTACCTGAGCCACTGAAGCACCAGTCCACTGGCAGCCAGGAGGTCTGAGGAGCAGAACCAAAAATGAGCTCTTGGGCCGGGGAGATGGCTCAGTAGAATAAGCGCTTCCCTGGCAAGTGCAAGGCCCTGAGTTCAATCTCCTGTTCCACCACAAAAAAACAAAAAAACGACTTCTTGGCAGGGTGGCAGCAGCTGCTGCCTGGCAGTGTGGTGGTATAGGATTGGGGTCCAGTCTTGGGGAGGTACTCACTTGAGGTTAGCAATCTGGGAAATCATGGTCCCCACGGCTAGGGAGGGCTGGGCATGGGGGTACCTTTGCCAAATAGCTCTGTGTCAACCTCTGTACCTCTGTGGATCCCCAGTCCTGGCAGCCTCCTAGGAAGCTGGGGCTTTGCCTTGGGACCTCCTCCCCTAATGGGAATTCCCAGACTTTTCCAGCCTTCCTTCTTCTAGTAGTTCCTGGTATCCTTTCTTGCCGGAGCTGGCACAGATTGGGACAGTATACAAATGAGTGTGGATACAGGCAAATTCCAGAGGCTCTGAGACTGCGTGTGGGGACAGAGCTCCACTCTGGTCTTTGTAGTCGGCCTTCCGTTGAACCACCAACTGTGCCCTACAATTTCCCTAGCTTCTGCCCTCAGATGGGCAGACACTCTGAGAACATCTGCCTGTGAGGCCCTGGGCAGGTATCAGGGAGGGTGAGGAAGAAGTGAGACTTCGGGCTCCACTCCTGCTTCAGCACCTACTGCCTGTGTGACCCATACAAGAGGCCTTCCCAGCCCCACTTCACCCAGCATGAAATGGAAATTCTGCTCACTAGGAGAACGGTCATGGCTGGGCAAGGGCCCATGTCCTCCTGTTAGGAGAGGAGGAGAAGCAGGCAGCACCTAGCCACCCTCACTGGCACCCAGTGCGGGTGTTGCCCTACTTTAGCCCCAGTTGCCAGGGAACCACTGGGTCCCTTGCTAACCTGGATTTCTATTGATGGGCAGCCTTTGTCTTCCTGCCCAGTGTGGCCACTGCTGAGGGAGGCTGGTGTCCAGCTGTGTTTCCAGGCAACTCTCCCTCTGGAGGGCAGAGAGAGGTCCGCAGGCCTGCAGAGCTGGGGCTGGGCACTGGTACCTGCCTTGGTGCTCATCTACTCCCACCGCTTACCCTTACTCCCTTCTTGGCAGGCAGCCCTGTGTACCAGCTGAGCTGCAAATCCTGCCTTGCCTCTCCTCAGTCTGCTTAACCCTTTAGCTCCTGTGGCTCCTGGGGAAAAGACAAGCTTCCCAGCTGGCAGTTGAGGTTTGGTATGACCTGGGCACTACCCATCTGTCACCCCAGACTCCTCTCTTCTCCCCCACCCCTTTCCCCAGAGGCTTACACCTCCTGTGTACCTGCCTCTGTAGCAAGCACTATGCTGAGTACAAAAGAGAGCGAGCTATAGTGGTGTACACCTGTGATGCTAGCACTCTGGGAGGCTGAGGATCACAAGTTTGAGCCCATCCTGGGCAACCCTGTTTCAAAAAGGTTTTTAAAAGTTTTTGTTTTTTTTTTAAAGGCTGTAGCTCAGTGCAGAGGTTCTCAATTCAGTCCCAGTTATGACCAGAGAGAGACAGACAGAATATATGAATGAATCTCACTAGTGAGGGTTTAGGGTATACAGGGTCTCACTACATAGATCAGACTCATAGTGATTCTCCTGTTGTAAGCCTCCCAAGCGCTGTAATTACAGGGGCAGGCCACCATACCCAGTCTCAATTGCCACCCAGTCTCAGTGTGCCCTGGGGGCAGGGCCAGCATGCACTGCACTGTTCCTAAGCAGGTGCTTTAGTCCACTGAGCTATCTGGCTGGTCCTGTCAATCCTCTTTTGAGAAATTAATGTGAATCCTTTCATTTCATCCTCCTCACTGCAGTGCGCCCCACAGTCACAGCGAAGGGCAACGCAGGGCGGCTTGTGCTGCTTCTTGTCCCTCCAGAGTCATACCCAGTCCTTTCTAAGCCCAGCTCTGGGCTCCTTCACCAGCAGCCTGCTCTCTAGTCCTCCCTCTTCTGACATAGCCAGCCTGTGTGTTGGGGACATCTTTTCTCTTTCCTGTCCCTAAGGCAATACACACCACGGCCCAGCAAAGGGCTGGTAAACAGGGTGTTGAATGCTGATGGGTAGGCCTCCTGGAGGAAGTGACTTTGAGCTGAGCTCAAAGGAAGAGTAGGTGGTGGCCAAGTGATGGGCGGGCTTTCCGAGCAGAGGAAACTGCAGGTAGCTGCGCTCTGCTCTGAGGAAGCTGGAGCGGTGGGTGCGAGCTTGTGAAGGTGCAGAGGCCTGCAGGGTGTTCCCTGAGGGTGCTTGGAGTGGGCTCCAGGACTCTTGGAAGCCAGGAAGGGATCCTGTGGGAAGGATGGGTGTGTAGGGGCCCTGGGAGGCTCTGGAATGTCCTGAAGGGGCAGGGGCATGGCAGGGTCCTGGGCTTCAGTTCTTGGGGAGGGGAAGCTGCCTGAGTTTTGGCGGTAGCACAGCGCCCTCTCCACAGAGGCCTGAGGCTGGTCAAGGCTGAGGCTCAGGCGGGTCACAGCTTTTCCAGTTGGCTTTTACCCAGGGAATTTCTGATTCTAATTGTTTGAGCACTTTTTTGGAGGGCTGAGTCTGAGGAAGCCCTCCTCGACCTTCTGGTCTGGTCAAGCCTGTTTGGTGGAGGCCTCCTTTTCAAGGCCGGGGCTGGGTGCTGGGCTTTGTGGTGAATAAAGCAGACATCCCTGCCCTTCCTGCTGTCTGGTCCAGGAGCAACAATAAACAAGTAAGCAGACAAATACTTAATTACAAACTTGTAGCCCAGGAGAAAGGGCTGTTGGGGAGGAAATCCCGTGACCTACTTTGGGCCCAGCCTTGCCACAAGAGATAAATGCTCCCATCTTGCAGATGAGGAAACTGAGCCCCAGGGAATGAGGTGCTCAGGGCCCTGGGAGTTGGTGGCTGGGCGTAGCTAGGACTCCGAGACTTGTGGGAGGAGTGGCCTCTGCTGACTTCCTTCTTGGCTATGACCTCTGGGGCCCACTTCTCCCTCCAGTGTTGCTAGGGGAGGAGAGCTTTCTTCCTCTCTTCCTTTCAGGTCCCCAGTCTAGCCAGGAGCATAGGAGCATGAGGGGTGGCCCAGGTCCCTTTCTTCACCCTCTGTCAGCTGGTCCTCAGAAAAGCCTTTGGGAGGTGCTCAGCTCTGGTGGTCACTGACTGCAGGCCCTGTGGACAAGATGGTGGTGATGGGACTCCTGGCTCTGGGTTCTCTCCCAACTTTCTTTGCCATCCCCTCCAGGGCTGTGACTTAATCTCCAGAGCCCTGAGTAGTGGGGTTTGAGCAAGGGTGCATGTACTTTTGCAGCGCAGGCTGTTTTGCCTGACTCTGCAGGTCTACTGAGGGCTCAGTCTGGGTGAGCATGGGTACAGACCTGGGTAAGTGCTGGTTTGGGGTAATTAGAAGGCACATAATTAGAAGGCGCAAGGGCGCTGGGCGGCCATTGTCTGTGAATGTGCCCGAGTGGGCCTCTCTGACTGTGAGTCTGGGCCCTTACTTGGATGCTTACTTTCCTCCTGGGAGCCTCCAGATCACACCACTCCATGCCTGTCTACAGATGAGCAGCTGCACAGCTCCTGTGGCTTTGGTCACCCAGCAGGTGCCACTGGGGTCAGCGGTGTTTCTGGGACTCTGGTTTTGCTTCTTACTTTTCATGCACTGCCAGGGACTGGCCATGAGCTCTGGGAAGAGCCTGAGAATTGGGGGCTGTGGTCAGGTCTGTGGCTCAGAGCCCTTGAGGGACTGGGCCCGAGTCATGGGGGAGATGGGCTGGGGTGAGGGTGCCAGGCATTGGAATGACATTGTGGGCAGAACCTGGAAGACCTGTGACTGGATCTGAGGAGGAACAGGTTAGGGGTGAGTCAGTACCAGCTGTTGAACGCGTGGACTGCCAGATGTGGTGGTCTTCACTTGCCCTCCTGGCCTCCCCTGCCCATGGTTTTCCCCTTGGCCAGCCTGGGGCAGAGCATGGCGCCGGTGACCTGGAGAGTCCCAGGGATGATTGACTGCTGCCCCTCCTCCTCCCCCATGTGTAACTCAAGCCTGCGCCAGACCCAGGTCAGCAGGCAGATTGTTTTCCTCCACTCTTTTTCCAGAGAAGTCCCGGCTGCTCACTGTGAGAGTTTTTCGTGTGACTTGGAACCTGTTGCAGTCTGCATGTTCTGCCTGGCTTAGTGTCAGACAGGCCAGGGAACTGGGTCAGTGTCTGGATTTTCAAGGGCCCATGGGTCACCCTTCTGAGGTGGTCTGTGCCAGGCTTGTGGTTCATGAGCTCTGCTTCCAGCACACCTCCTTGATGGCCCTGGAACCCAGGCCTCTGGGCAGATACACCTGGGAACTTCCGCGTTCTTCCTACATCTTTTCTGTTGCCTGATCTGAATCCATCTTCCTGTTGTCCCAGCCTTGTCCATTGGCTGAAGGAGACTTATCTGGAAGCAGCCAAAGCCTAGGGCCAGGATCAATAATTGATGTTTCAGCACACATCATACCCTCACCCTGCTTTACTTTATTTCTTGGAGCTTCCCACCTACTGGAGAGGAAGATACTTTCTCTCCCCTCTCCCTTGCCCTCTCTCCTCTCCCCTCTGCCATTTGTATCTCCTGAGGACAGGGTCCTCATGTCTTGTTCATGCCTCATCCTTAGGGCCAAGGACTGAAGGCACATGGGAGGTGCGGCTGGATGCTGGCTGCCATGACCACCCCACCCCTGCAAGTCTGCCATGGCACCAGGCAGGCAGGGATGCAAGAAGACATGTTTCCCCACCCTGTGGACCAGGACATAGAAGGACTAGACTTCTGATGGAGTGCGGGGGAGGGGACGGAAGTGTAGGAAGCTGTGGGAATCCCTTAAGAGACCTGGCTGGCAAGGAACCTGAGGGCAGCAGAGGGAGCAGAGAGGCCAGGTCTGGGGTGCCACAACCCTCTCAGCCTGGCCCCAGACCTCCTCACACTTCCTTCCTCCTTCTGAGTTCCCTCGCTGATGCTGCAGGGCACCTGGCTGTTTATGGGAGGGGAAGGAAGTCCTTCCTCCTCAGGGAAACCTCCCCATCCTGCAGAACCCTCGGGCCTGCCCTGCCATCCTGGACTGGCCCATGAGCTGGTCCCAGACTACAGCCCCTGGCTTGCATCTGAGGTGGGGAGGGTGAGCCACCCCTCGCTCTGCCTGCCTAGCAGCACCTTGCAAACTCCTTGTCAAGTCCTGTCTTGCTGAAGGTGGCCTGGGGGCACAGCAGCTGTCTGCCTGTCCCCAGTGCCCCCTCCACCTCCTCATCTTCTGCCCTAGGCCAGTGACTGTGCTGGGCCCTGAAGATGAAGCTGAGGCCACTGTGCTGCCCTCTGTCCTGCCTCTTTGCGGTAAGTTTGGGTTGGCCTGGGAAGAACCTGAGACCCACATCCAGCCCTCCTGGGATTCTGCTCCTGAACTGTGTTGGGGTGAGGCATGGCTTCTCTTCGTGGAAAGAATATGAGACTGCCGGACCCTAGGGAACACCCCCATGCATGAGATGTTAACCAGATGGAAGGGCCATGGCATCCAAGAAAGAGGAACCAAGATTTCCCAACTCACAGCCCAGGTGGAGGGGAGAAGGCAGGACTTGCTGATGTTCTAGTCAATGGGGCATGATTGACAGCAGTGTGCCTGTCAACAGGCAGGTCTGGAGACTGATACCAGTCAGGAGGTGACCCAAGACATGGAGGAATGTGAGTGAAAGAGGCCTAGGATTTGGAACATTTTAGATCACTGGGGTTAAGGTATGTTTGGTAAAGGGACCCTCGGATGCAGCTGGCACTAAGGATCAGGCCTGACTCAGAATCAGGCCACCTGCACTTGCAGACTTGCAGCCTCACAGTGTCTTAAGGTTAGGGATCATCTTTCTGCTGAAGTCCAGGGAGGGTGAGACTGGGCCTTGTGCAGGAGGCCTCCCATCTTTAACAGGTGCAGGCAGCCAGCTCTGGAGAGTCCAGGACCTTGGGGTAAAGTTTCACCTCCAGGGTACCTTGGTTTGTGCTGTTACTGGCGCCCCCTCTCCCCGCCAAACTGGGCCATGTTGGAGGATGGGGTACCCCACAGCAAAAGTTCAGTTCATGCAGGTGGACTGAGTGGGGAGCGAAGAAGGGAGCTGAGGGGGCTCATCATGGAAGGGGCTGGAGGCACCCACTGGGAAGAGCTTTCCTTTCTATCATGGCATACCTGTTTGGGTGACTTGCCACAGGGATGGTCTTGGGAGGATGTGGTCTCAGACTCAGCCCAGGGCTTAGAATAGTAAGTGCCAACTGTAGACCTGGCTCCAGGGAAGATAAACAGAGGCTGGCTAATGACAGTCCCAGCTGTGAAGGGAGTGGGGAGGCAGGAAGAGGGACAGAATCTGAGTGAAGAATTCGGAAGCATTTCCTCATCATCTGCTTGCTCAGCCGGAAGGGGTGTGACTCAGGGACCCAAGGGTTTGAGGTCCTCACCCCTTGTCTGGTTCTTTCTAGAAGCAGGTATGATTCTCTTCTTACCTTGACACTGGTTATGTTTGGGACAGGGCAGGTTTTCCTTGCAATGTGAGGACTGAAGTTAGAAGAGTGTCCCTGAAGCTTGAGAAGTGTGGGGTAGTCCTGTGTGCTCAGTGATCCCCACCCTCTGGGCCTCAGGAAGTAGGCAGTGGATAGAATGACTCCAAAGACCCCCACGCCGCATGCTTTCTATCTCCCAGCATGCTCCTGCCTACTGTTTTCTTTCAGCTGCTGTCCAGGGCTTTGGCCACTCCAACATCAGCAACCCTGTGGCAGTGCCCTCCTGGGGAAGAGCCTGACCTGGTGAGTACTGTTCCTGCTACCCATCTGCACTGTCCTGGGAAGACTCCGGGGACCAGTGGGGGAGCCCAGGCCCGGCTTCCCCAGGGATCTTGCTCCGGCTCCTGGACTGTTCTCTCCACCCTTCCTCTCCTACAGGAGCTCAGCCAGGGCATGCCATGCAGGTCCTGCCCCCCAGGCACCTTCTCAGCCTCCTGGGGCTCTAGCCCATGCCAGCCCCATGACCGCTGCAGTCTTCAAAGGAGGCTGGAGGCCCAGGCTGGCACTTCAACTCAAGATGCGCTGTGTGGAGGCTGCCAGCCTGGGTGAGCACAGGTGTGGGAGGTGGGAGGCTCATGCCTGGGAGGCCAGGATCCTGAATCCTCGGGTTCCGGCCTCATTCTGTACTGAGCAAGCTTCAGACTCCCCTTTCATGAAATGGGACTGGGCAGGACCATTGGGGGTACAGGAAGGGATCCAGGCTCACTTAAGGATAGGTTTTTGGAGACATTTCTGGATTTCAGTGACATCTTCCTGCTCTACAGGTGGTTTGAGCCTGAGGGGAACCCTCCTGTTCCATGTCAGCCTTGTTCCTGGGCACCTCTGAGTATTCATGGCTGCGATGGTGAGTGGCAGGTTGGGGGTATGTAGGAAGGGTCCAGGAAGCTGAGCTCTGGAGCCCCTCAGTGCTCTTGTGGGGTGGTGGCATCCTCTGGAGGGGACAGGCAGCTGAGTGCTGTCCCAAGGCTGTGGTCACTCAGATGTCTTCTTTCTTTCCTTTCTTTCTTTCTTTCTTTCTTTCTTTCTTTCTTTCTTTCTTTCTTTCTTTCTTTCTTTCTTTTAACTGTTTTGTTATTTTTCATTTGTTTTTGGTACTGGGGATTGAACTCAGGACCTTGCACTTACCAGGCAGGCATTTATACCACAGAGCTATTTCCCCAGCCTCAAATGTCATTTCTGAATGACAAGAGACCATCTAGCAGGTGGCAGCCACAGGGGCTTAGAAGTCCCCAACCTAGCCAGGAGATGGCTCTGTAGAATAAGCACTTGCCTGGCAAGCTCAAGGGCCCGAGTTCAATCCCTGGTTCCCCCCGCAAAAAAACCGCAGAAGTTCCCAGCCTGACCAGTCCTCTGTCCTGTCCTCTGTGAGACCACTGCAGCACACACACGCTCACACTTATGCGTGCGTGTCCACAGGTTGCTCTCTCACTGAGCCCTGCACCCCGGAAGCAGCCAGTTTACAGACCAGGCCACAGGGTTGTGAGATGACCCCAGCCATTGTTACTGTGTGCCCATTTCTCTCATGCAAGCCCCCAGGTCTCATGATAAGTAATCCAGTGTCCTAAAGAGGAGGAAAGGAAGGGTTTTGAGCTGGCCTTTGCCTTCTGAGGTGTCGGTGGCAGCTGCCCGGGCACACCTATCCTTCCTTCTCCTCCATTAATGGGGCACAGGGCCTTTGCCCCTCTGTAAGTATCCATTCTCTGCCTCTGTCTTATCTGCATCCTCACGGTGCTCAGAGTCGGGGCGGCGTTCCCGACGTGGCGTGGAGGTGGTAGCAGGAGCTGGTAGTGGCAGCAGCAGTGAGACGAGGCAGCCTGGAAACGGCACACGAGCAGGTGACCCTGAAGAGACGGCTACGCAGTACGCGGTGATTGCCATTGTGCCCATCTTCTGCCTCATGGGGCTGCTGGGCATCCTGGTGTGCAACCTACTCAAGCGGAAGGGCTACCACTGCACAGCCCACAAGGAGGTCGGGCCCACTCCTGGCAGTGGAAGCAGCGGTGAGGCCCGCCCCGGGGTCCCAGGGGGAGGCTGAGGAGCCAGGCCTGGCTGGGCCCAGGCTGGCATAGGACTGCCAGAAGGAAACTCCTGCCTGAGGTCTGAAGGGAGAAGCCTTCGAGTGCTGCTGCTGTGTAGGGCCCCTAGAGGGAGGGCCACAGACTGATGGGGGAAGGTGAGGGACTGTGTGTGGGGTTCTGGGCAGAGCAGGGGCCGGACAGCTGGTCAAGTGGCAGTATGCAATTTGCATCCTACCTTAGGCCTCCTTCCTAGCTGTGGGTTCTGGACTCCCGGAGCTATAGCTGTATGTGTGAGTCAAAGGCCTTTCAAGTACTGAAGGACCTCCAACCTGTGGCCTGTCACTGGAGGAATGCTGAGCAGGACGCTGGTGGGCAGGCACCACGAGGGGTCAGGTTGCAGTTCCAGGCTAGGCTTTGAGTTACAAGTCCTGGAACCAGAGACCAATGTTCTTCCACCCGATCCCCCAGCCCCAGGCCCTTTTTCCTCCACACCAGACCGGTGACCCAGAAGGGCTGGGGACCCCATATGCCTATACACTGCCCTGGGCCCATAGGATCCCTTTGGATAAGTCAGGGTGAAGCAGCACCTCCAGTGCTAGTCTCTGAGGCTGCCTGGGACTGGCAGGGCCCCTTCTAACTGATGCTGAAGTCTGGGCGAGGGAGTATGAAGGGGCAGGCAGGTGGCAGCAACTCAGGGCTGTTTTGCTGGAGACAGTACTTGTTTTCTTTAGCTGCTGGCTGCTTCCCCAGTGCAGCACCCTAGTGCTGTCTTCAGGATGGGATCACAGCAGTCCCTTCCCATACCCTTGAGGATTGGGCCCTGAGCTGACCTATGGCCTTCAGTTAAGCAGTTTTGTGGACTGGGTGGTGTGCAGGAGGAAATGGGCCTGGAAGGGCAGCTTGTTGTAGGTGTTGGATGAGCTCCCCAAGGCTGAGGCGGGACAGTGCCAGAAGGGGCTGACACAGGATCTGCAGTCTGCAGGAATTGGAGTTCTGATGGCCGTGAAAGCCCTAAACACCAGGGTTGCTGGGTCCAAGGGTGATGTGGATAGTAAAGGTGACAGTGGGCTTCCTGAGCAGTTGCCAGTGCCTGAACAAACACACGTGGCTCTTGCAGCCAGGGAAGGCTTGGGGTGCCCTCTGCTGGCAGATCCCAGTATAGTTTGGGAGCCCAGGGTCCTTCCACCCTTTCCCCCAGCATCATAGGTTTCTCTTTTTCCTCAGGGATCAACCCTGCCTACCGGACTGATGACACCAACGAGGACACTATTGGCATCCTGGTGCGCCTGATTACAGAGAAGAAGGGTGAGAGGAGGGTCTGACCCATCCCAGTGTCCAAGAGCAGAGGGTCTCCTCTGAGAGCCAGCAAGCAGGCAGGTCACATCCTTCCCTGCCCTGGGGCCTCAGGCTGGCCTGGTGCTCTGACCTGGGAGCCAGCTGTGGGTGTCTGGGCTTGCTGGGTGTGGGGCAGAGGAAAATGCTCACAGGAAATGGGTAGGTGAGGGGTTCTCTGCTGGGGCAAGGTGAGGGCTCCTGTCACGTCAGAGCAGTCTTCTGACCACAGCTGCCCACAGAAAATGCAGCAGCCCTGGAGGAGCTGCTGAAGGAATACCACAGCAAACAGCTGGTGCAGACGAGCCACAGGCCTGTGCCCAGGTGAGGGGGGCAAGGCCCTCAGCCCATCAGCTTCCCCTGGGGTCCCCTCCTGAGTCTCTTCTGTCTCGTGATAGCGTGTACCACCTCTGTCTGCGGGTCTTGTGGCCCTGGACCTGGCCTGCCCTAGTGACTGTGCCCCTGTGCCTCCCTGCAGGCAGCTGCCGGCTTCCCCCCGTGTGCCGCACATCTGCCCACATCGCCACCACCTCCACACTGTGCAGGGCCTGGCCTCACTCTCTGGCCCCTGTTGCTCCCGATGTAGCCAGAAGAAGTGGCCTGAAGTGCTGCTGTCCCCTGAGGCAGCGGCTGCCTCCACTCCAGCTCCCAGCCTCCTGCCCAACCTGGCCAGGGCTCCCAAGACTGGAGCCAAGGCAGGACGTCAGGGCGAGATCACTATCTTGTCTGTGGGCAGGTGAGGTGACAGCTAAAAGGCATGGCAGTGTTATAAGAAACACAATGGCTCGTGTCCAGCCCTTAGCCTCTTGTTTTGTGGTCGTCTGGACCTCTGGGCAGAGTGGGTGGCCAGAGGAAAACCAGGACTCCCCAACAAAAGCCCTTACATAGAGCTCTTGGGTCCCCCAGGTCCAGCATCTTGGCCCTCACCACACCTGGGGCTGCGAAAAGGCCTGTGTTTTTAACCTGGAGTAAAGGTGCTAGGGGCTGGGCACAGACAGCAGAGTGAAGCCCTTGTCTGGGGAGGACTGAGGCTGTACCCCTGAATTTACTGTGTGACCTTGCAGATGTTGCCCACTGCACTGGGGGTTCCTCTCTAATAGGAGATGGTTGCTCCTCTAGATTCCGAGTGGCTCGAATTCCTGAGCAGAGGACAAGCTTAGTGGCCTCAGAAGTGAAGACCATCACAGAAGCTGGGCCTTCTGTGGATGATCTCCCTGACACCCCACAACCTGGACTCCTTCCTGAGCAGCGGGCCCTATTGGGAAGTGGTGAAAACCATACTAAGTGGCCAAAACCCTCAGTGGAAAACAAGGTTGAGGTGAGATATGGGGAATGTTCCTGTTAGCACCTGACTGAAGATAGAATACGGCGGAGGCAGGGGTCCCTGGGCAGGCTACTTTCTGGAGCCCAGAAACTCTCTTGATTTCACTCTGGTCCCTTACCCTTGTCTCCCAGGAGAACCGCTATGTGGTCCGGCTCAGTGAGAGCAACCTGGTCATCTGAGGGGCTGTATAGTCTGAGGATACTCAGCTTTGCCCTGGGAGGTCCCCAGGATTTCCAGGAGGAGGCAGAGCTGCAGCTGGGACTGTGAGGACCAAGAAGCAAATGACCCAGCAGGCACAGTAGCAAAGGTCACAGCCTGAGGTGGGACCGTCCGCCCCAGTGAGGAGGCAGTCAGCGGGCACTGTGCAGCAGATTGAGAGCCTTGCCCCGTCCCTGTTGCCCCAGTCCCTCGCCTGCAGGCTGCCCTAACCCTGGGCCTGCCCTGACCACATCCTGGGAGCCCACTGCCTTCTTGGGGCCACAGGGGTCTAGGCTGGGTGGAGGGGTGGTGCCTGTACCTGATGCCCCAGACCCACCCCTGGGTGACGGGCCCTAGGGCAAGATGTGCCTCCCCTCCTCTTCTGCCAGGTCCTGTGAAGGGAAGGGACAAGGAAAAACCCTGGGCTAGGAGGCCGAGTTCCCAAGTTCTAATCCTGGGCCTGTCCCTGGGCCCCATTTTCCTGACTGAAGTAGGGAGAGAATGCCTCAGGACCCAGGGTCTCCCCAGTTCCTTGCAGGTTCTGGATGGGGTCCTGTTGGGGGACAGCTTTGACTCTGCCGCCCCTCCTATTAGTAGCTTTATCTGGCCCACTCTTGCTGCTTTCTGCCTTCAAAGGCCCCGGGGGGCTGTCCACCTGCAGACCGGGCTGAATGCATGTGCCTGCCTCCACCTGCTGTTTTTAATAAAACAGAAAAGCTGACTTGACTTGGGCAGGGCCATGGCACAGCTTTGCCTGCCCTGCCTCCCACGGTCTCCAGAGCTTCTGGGAGAGGGGGAGCAGTGTGGGGCTGGCGAGGGCTGCTAGCCTCAGTGGTTTCCATTGCCCTGAGGTAGAGGTCCTGGGGCCCCGGGCAGCTCAGGGGACTGCAGCCCACCCCCGTGTCTCCACTCCCACCCAGGCACCTGGTTATTTATGTGGGGCCGTGCAGGCGTGGACCCACTTCCCACCCCATTTCTCTTATTTATTAAAACTTACTGTTGTCCTGCCCTTGCATCTGCATCCCCTCCACTTGTTGAATAATAAAAGACGGGAAAATGGTGTCCTGAGGAGCTTCTTTTTCCTGTGCCCCTTCCCAAGTCCCTTGGGTCCTGCTCTGTGTCCCACTGTGTGCTGCACAGCCTGCCCCTCCCTTCCCAGTGCCTGTGGCTCAGCAGTGGGAGACAGAAGCCAGGCAGGCCTCTCCCCACCTGCTTCCCACTGAAGCTGGGGAAGCAGGCCTGCCCAAGAAAATGACACAGGACCCTCACAGGTGACTTAAGTTTTCTCATAATCACATTCAAAGCATAGAAACAAGTGGACTTAATATATTTTAGCTCAGTATATCTAAAATCCCATTGCAATATGAAAAATAATAAAATTACAAATAAGTGGTAGGGGCTTTAGAATCTGGTATGTATTTTACACTTTTCTTGGAGACAGGGTCTCAGTATGTAGTTCAGGCTGGTCCTGAACTCAGTGATCCTCCTGCCTCAGCCTCCTGAGTACTGTGATCATAGGCTGTGTTTTACACATCTCTAAATGACTTAACCTACATCAAGGGCTTACAAGCTACAAGTGGCTATTGTACCTACACAGGACCCTACACCTCTGGCCAGAGGAAGTGGCATGGTGTTGAGCCTGGGAGATGAGGCAGGAGAAGTGTGGGAAGGGGAGACATGTTCCATGGAGAGGGAGCAGCATATGCAAGGCCATACCAAGGGTCACAATGTGGGCTTTATGCCAAGGAACTGCCAAAGTTGCTAAGAAGAGCCTGACCCATCAGCTCCTTTCTGGCCCTTGTGCAAGGTGGGAACGATGGAGCGCGGCACCTTGAGGCAGCAGGTGGTGAGCAGCAGGGCCAAGAGATTCCCTGGGCACACCTGCCCTTCACAGGCTGTGAGCCAAGGGGTTAGGGCCAGCTGGGTAGGGCAGGAGGCGGCGCAGTCCTGGGGCACCTGATAGCCCTGGTGGATGTCAAGACATCGGGCTAAGCAAGCTAGGAACTCAGCAGACAAGTGGGTGATAAGTGTCCACTGCATTCAGGGGGGTGCATAAATGTTCTCATTTATGCCAGGACTGGGCAGAGGGAACGATCTCAGGGAAAGGCCTAGGGCAGATCCTACTACGATGAAGCAATGGCAGGGAGGGCCAAAGAAAAGCAGGAGAGGGCTATGTCCTGGCAACCAGGCAAAGACACTGCTGCAGAGATGGGGTGCTGCTGTGAGGCCAGGATTACTGTGCGACGTGGGAGACATAGACTTGGGGTCATCTCCCAAAGTGGGAGAGCATGGCCAGGTTTAAGTGGCTCAAAGGAGACAGCCCTGTGCTGAGCCTTGGCGGTGCCAGGCCATGACTGATTAGGTTCTGGGAGACATGCTTTGAATTAAGGTGAAGCCACTCTGGTGTTCGGTGTTTGCCTAAGGATGGAAAAGTGTGTCACCTATAAACCCTGTTGGGCCTCTCAAACACTTAAGAAAGTGGCCCTTGAGAGAATGAGGCATGTGGGGGTGGGGGAGAGTCTCCGGAGCCAGTCTCACGGGGTAGACCACGAAGTGTGGTTCCTGGGCCTCGGACGTAATGCTAGACAGACTCAAAAAGGAGCCTGGACGAGGGTTCCACTCTGGGAGATAGAAGAGATTCAGACATCAGGGTAAAAGTGACCACTCAGATGACTGCTAATGTGAGCCCTGTGGTTTATACTGTCCTTTTTAAACTCCAAACCACCAAGTCCCTATAGCTGAAGGGACTGGCTGTCACTAAGCCAGAGGAGGAGGCATTGCCACTAGGTATCCTTGCTGTGGAGTGAGCTTCTACCCATTTCAGCCCCAGCAAAGGCCTTGAAAAACCCATGCTTTTTTTTTTTTTCTTTTGGTGGTACCAGGATCAAACTCAGGACCTTGCACTTGCCAGACAGGTGCTTATGCCACTGAGTTGTTTTCCTGGTCCGAAAAACCCATGCTTTAAGAATGCCCCTCCTCAGAAGAGGGGGGACTTGAGCTGTTGCACCTGGGTTCTGCAGCCAAACAAGTGTGAGTTCCACCCCTGCCCTACCAGCATTGTGCCCCAAGATGGGGCTGATCACAGGGCTTAACTCACAGTGAGTTACCAAAACTACATGGGTTAACAAGCACAAAGCAAGTGGCTTTCAATAGACGGCAAGGTCTTTTTCTGTTCTGGTTTGTTGTGAACCCAGGGCCTTGCACATGCTAAGCACACTCTGCCACTGAACTGCATGCCCCAGCCCCATGGCTGTCAGCCCTTCATGGCCTCCCGTCACACAACTTGGGCCTGCTGTGAAGCTGCTGCTTGACAAGGACCCTCAGCTATGAGCAGCAGCTCAGACTGTGCCCACTAGGAGAACAGTGCAGGGATTTCTTACCAGTTCAACACACTTAGACTCAACCTGGGGAGACCCATTGGCTCCGGCCCAGGGGGCGCCTTCTGTGCCTCCTCCCCCAAGAACCACTCAGTCTGGTCGCCTAGAACATTTTTTTTTTTTTGAAAACTTTTTTTTAATAGTTATTGAATGTTCTACAGCTTACAGTAAATATCATAGTTACAAACTCTTGGCTTCAGTCTTTCAGAGTGATCACTATCTGATCTTCAAAACAAAACAAAACAAAACCCAAAAGAATCCAAAACAACAAAAACAAAACCAGATTTACACTTCATACACACAAGCGAGGCCATGGGGCTTTCCAATCTTTACACTTCAGGTTGTGTTTTGAAAACACCTTAAATTCTTTGATCAAACTACTTGGAAGACACTGGTCAAAGGTTTATTATTATTAATAGTATTATTTTAAATGTTTTTATTTCTTTTTAAAATGTGAGTTCCAATAAATTTAAAAATTAGATTCCAACTTGTAGATTAAAATGAATTAAAAAATACAAAATCATATACAATGCTCTCTTCACAGGGATGTTACATGCCATGAGAACAGGCTTCTCTGTCATGTGATATGAAAGAGGGATGCAGAAGTCAGGAAGGGCACAGGCCCTGGGCCTGTAACGGTTATCAGACTCCAAGGTGCTGGAGGCCTAATCTTACCTCCCCTTGGCTAAGGAGGAATTTGAGTTACAACACAGACCAAGACAATTTGACCAACCTGTCCAACTCTTACTAGCTTTGAAGCATCAGGAGGAAGGCTGGAGCCTGATGGATGCTGGTCCTGCGAGGGTCAGACCCAAGGCTGATCTCACCCATTTGACTCCCGTGGCTGGTACTTATCTGTAAAACTGTTACTTCTGTTCTTTTCAGGAAGGAAAATCTACTACCAGGCCTGGAATAGGTAAAAATTCACACCACTGCAAGGATATTTAATGGCAATATAGCCACAGGACAGAGGTGCCGTTATGTCCTTCTCTGGCTTAGTGACAGTCCCAACTTCTGTGTTCTTAAGCTGGCCTCTGGGCTGGACTTAACAGCATGCATGACAGGAAATACTGGAGAAGCTCGGGGAGTGGGTCCGAGACTGGCTTGGACAAGGTTGAGCATGGAATGTTGAAGCTAGCCTGCCAGGACTTTACAAGGCTGGGTCTTACTACAACATAATGCTGAATTTCAAGAGCTTTCTAGGAGCAAGAGACATGGATGGGTAAAGGACAAACCCTACAGCCGATCTAGCATGCCTATAGAAGCCTGAGCACTTAAAGGCTCAGGTGTGGAATCTGCCTCTCAGTCTAGTTTGGATTCTTCCAGTGATCTGCCTTTCAGAGGTGGGTAGGGCCTGGACACCAGCAAGTGTCTTCTTTTCCTCTTGCCCACTCTACTACCCAGCTGCCCCTATCTGGATTCCCATTTACCAAGAAGCTGGGGGCCACACACCCAGTAGTGAAGTGGTGGTGGTACAAAATGGAAAAGCAGAGCCTCCACACACTTGTACTCTACTGTATATGAAGAGTCCCATGGTAGTGATGACTCAGCCAGAATGTAGGATGAAAGCTCCAGGGGTAGGGTGGGTGGGGCCTGTCTGCTCCTTCCACAAAGCAGACACAAGAGTTTGATATGCAAGGCTCACTACTGCATCACTGGCTATGTCCTCTCTACACAATGAGGACATCACAGCTTAGTGACAAAAGGCCCTGTCCTACTTTTATACTCCACATGATTCATTTCTGAAGGCTATTAAGAACAAAGCAAGCTCTTCAAGGAAGTACCCTCAGATATTGAGTATACCTCCAAATGGAACAATTTAGGTGGCCAGAAGAAAGGATGAGGAATTATGGAGCCTGCTTAGTGTCTCATGAAAAAGCAAGCCAAGGGATTCCACTATGTCAGGTCCCTCTAAAATGCCAACTTGATGAATATAGAAAGCAGCCAGGCCATCACATCCCAAAGCCAGTGTATCAGGCATCCCAAAAGACACCTGGGCCCTTCAAGAGAAGGGTGCCTGGTGCTGCCCTTGAAACCTGGCACTGGGATCTCAGTGTTGTGTTCAAGGTAGGTCCTTGTTGCAAATTCTCATGCTCTGTGTGCTAACATCTGGATATGCCTCTAGATCTCAGAACAAAGCAGAAGTTCTTAAAAATCTGCTCAGCTGTAAGAGCTGAGCTTCTCAGGTGTCCAATAAGTCTCCCTCTGCATGAGGCAGACAGCCCTTCCCTTCTTCAAGCCACTCAGAGACCTATCATGTGGCAACACAAGGTACAGCACTTGAGTTCAAGTCATGGCTCTTTCACTTAATAAACTGTGTTCTTTGTCAAGTCTTTTAACCCTCTGAACATTAGCTTTTCATCTATAAGTTTTGGCAATCAATGTCCAAGTGCTTTGCATACTAAAAAAAGCTCTGGACTGGTGCACGAGGCCCTGTTGCGTGTTTTGAGGAGGGGAGATGCATATCAAGAGTGGCTTCCAGGAGAATGAGGACTAGCAACTGCCCCATCCCATGGGAATTTTCTTTTTTTTCAAAGTGTGGCAAAGATTATGTTTCAGGCTTTCACTACTTGTAGGTAATCCAGCTTCCAAACTTCTGAGTTGAAGGCTGGTGAAGAGTCAGGCAGGAGTGACAGAAGCCAAAAGGTGCATGGAACCACTTTCATCCTGAGCCCTGGCCACCAAGGTGTTGATCTGGGGAGAAGCAGTGGCATGGGAAGGAGTGGGGGTATGCAGTTGCTAGAACTGCAGCTACATCTTGTAGCCTGTCCTTTGTCCTCTCTGATTTGCCCATCTTCCTAATATGACATGGATATTCTGGCTCTGACCTTCCATCCACCTTGATCACTGGGCCATCCAGAATCCCAGGATGATACCAACAGAACCTTCTTCCTGTGACCTGCCTGGGCACACTGCCTTATTCTCCAGGCTCAGTTCATTTGCAGCGACTCCCCAAGCCTGGATGGGTTTGTGGATCTGAATCAGGACAAAGAGGGCGAGGCAAGCTGAACTGGGCCACCAATGCTCACAATGAAAAAAATCCTAGACCTGGCTGCTGCAGGCCACAGCCTCGCAGTGCCTTACCTTCACCTGGGGCCTCACTTTGATCTTGAGGGACTAGGGATTAAGACTTGGTATAGGGCATAGATGCTTAAGTACATGAGCTTGTGTGAGGGTCAGACTGGAGGAAAAGGGACAGCAGGAAACCTGGGCCTTCAAGTGGCTCTGTGGCTTATTTAGCAAGTCACCACTTTTCTGAGCCTTGGCATTCCTCATGGATCAAATGATAGGCATAATCTCCATTTCCCAGGGTTAAGTCATATCATGTATGTTAAACTGCTCTGTGAACCATGAGGTACTGATGTTGGTTTTTATTTACTGGTGTAGGAAGAATAGCAGTTACAAGGTCATTCCTAGGTCACTCTCTTTTTTTCCTCTTTTCTGTTCCACTTGGAGGCGGCAGGGTGCAGGAAGTCTGTTAAGATCCCAGCCTTCAGCTCACCCTTTCCCTCTGGAGCCTGTTTCCACACTTGTCAAATGAGTGGATTAACTGATCCTGTTTCTCTCCTTCAGGCTCAGTAAATTGTAGGCTGTGAAGTGCTTTCAATCTATGAAGCACCTGACAAATGTAAAGGTTTCCTATTATTATTATCATCACCATTATCGTTTTGGCATCTTCAAACACATATGATATGATCTAGAACAGCCTTCGCCCACCTTCACAAAATCAAAGAGAGTGGGAAGAGGTATTTGCAAATGAATGTATTAACACTGACCAACTTTGTTATTTTAAAATGAAACCTCACCAGCACTCCAAAAACCACTCAGGGCATCTGGGTTTTCTCTTACTGATTCTACAGTTTCCTAGAAGGTGGGCTCTCTAACTTCCAATTCTGGGCCAAGGATGTGGATGGGTTTGGACCTCCTGGGTACAGCCAAGTCCTTTTGCCCAAGGGTTTCCAGATGTTTTTCTTCAATTAGGGAGAGGTAGGGGGAAGGCATGTCCAAGTTTACATGAATTTAAAATGAAGATCATTATTTAAAAGTCTCAAATGTTGTCAGTGATCCCATTTTGTACAGTAAAATGTTCTTGCCCCACCCCAGAGGGGCTGCTGGCCCAGCTAAATGCCAGGTAATTCAGGCTCCTGGCTAAGGCTAGCAAGGGCCTTTGTGTCCAGGGGTCCCTCTTCTCCAAGATGAGCCCATGTCTGCTGGGCCTCACCCTCGTGCTCCTCTCCTGATGCTTCCCACTCTTCTCTTCTCAGGACGAGGGGCTACTGTCCTAAAAGCAGGGCCTCTCCTTTTCCGCCAGCCCACCTGCTCCTTTTCCTAGGGGTGGAGCCAGGTAAAGGATGAAGTTCCAGATGTCTTCACAGAATTTCCAAATGCTAGTTCTTCATTTGCAATTTCTGTTGTTGCCATCTGCCCCCACACGGCCTCTGCCCCATCTTCAACCTCCATCACCTTAGCAGTCCATGGGGCGGGGAGCACAAAGAACAGCCCACAGATCATTCCAGAGCTCACCAGGTGTGGGCGCTGATGACTTAATTTTTATAAAACCAAGCCAATCCATTCCTAGGTACATTTTTGTAGGCAACGTGCCACTAGGTAGGAAGGCTGCATTTAATGCTAATTTACTGTGAGATCTAAAGAAGTCTATTCTCTCGGCCTCACTTTCCTCATGTGTCAAATAGGGAAATGGATGAGATGATTGCTAAGGTCCCTTCAGTACCACGAGTCTATGAAATGTTTATTGCTATTGCTTTTCCTTCACTATCCTGACCTTCAAAGCTGCCAGCACCCACCTGGAATGTGGTTCCTTCACTTTGGCCGTGAATGGCACAAGATAACCAAGAGCTTGGCCTGCCTGTCAGCCCCACAGACAGACACAGATGGGTGAACCCTGGCACTAGAAGAAGGGAATGGGAAAGAAATGTTAAAGGGTCCCACTCTAATCAGGAGGAAATTCCTCATCAGAGTGGGTACATGAAGGCTCAGAGGCCGAGGTCTGAATTATATAGGGCACCTGGCCTTCAGAGGCCTGGGGACACTGAGGGCCCACTACCCTGCAGCTGCTTGGCAGGTCTGAGGTCAAAATCACCTTTTGAGGAAGTGCCAGGTCAGTTAACATCACTGTGCAAATCAGAAGGTCCAGGCCCAAACTCCACAGCCAGACCTTTCCAACCAAAGCCATTAGGGCAAGGACCTCTTTTGCCTTCTTCTCTCTCCTTCCCCACAGTGTTCCCCCCACCCCCACCCCAATTCTCCCAAAGACTAGTTTCCCAGGTTCTCAGCCTGGGGTATGAAGCTGCTAATACAGCCCTACATAATCAGATGGTTTTATTTTTGGTCTGTTGCGATGGTTCTCAGAAGACATTTCATGATTTCATTTTTGTCAGGACATAATAATATCCTGAACTATCTTGCTTAAGAAAAACCAGAAAAAGAACAACTACTCAGAGATGTGGCCTTTTCAATAGCTCTTACTCCAGACCTGAGGGCCACATCTGTTTATGGTTTTCCAGTAAAGCTTGGACTTCAGTTGAACCAATGCAACAAACCCACTCTCTGCCACTAGACTGGGATCCTGAGGACAGGACACTTGGGGAAGAAAAGAGGTGTGGGGGAGTGTGGCCTGGTCAGGGAGGAGGAATGGGTAGAGCTGGAAGGGAAGCAACTAAGAGGAGGCAATGGGGGAGAGGCAGGAGATTAGAAAAAGCAGCTTTTACAAAAACCAAAAATAAAAACCAAAACCATTAAAGATGCATAAAGTGACCCTTGCACTTCCGTTCTCTTCTTGCAAATAGAGGTGGTGCTGCTAGGGAGCTGCTCCAGCACCGGTGTAAGACTTGAGTAGTTGCATACAATGTGTGACTCCAGATCTGGAAGAGAAAAGGGAACCAATAGTCACAGTGATACAAGAAGTCTCTGGACCTCAGTCTCTCACTGGGGAGTCCTAAATAGGTCTCTCTATGCCGTCCGAGTGAACACATTTGCTCTTCACTAGTGGAAGTTCTGTTCTAGTGCCAAGAGTCTCTGGAGGCGGGGGGGAAGAGGAGATGCTGCCATAGAAAAGAACTGAGTAACATCCTTGGACTCACACAGTGCCTGCGTGTATCAAAAATGTTGAATGATATTACAGGGCCTCTAAAATATTGGGTCTCTACAAGCTAGTCACAGCCTTGTGGGGGATGACTGCACGTCTCTCTAGGAGTACACTCATCCAAAGACTGTACAGGGAAGCAACTAATAACTCTGTCCCTGTGACCAATGTGCTCCAGATTCAATATGGGCTCAGAGCTGGTCCCTGAGTGTTTCCCCTCTCCCATCTCTCCCACCTTAGACTCACTCACCTGGATGGGCTGTAGGCTTTACCAGTGCGGGGGCACGTAGCTGTATGCAGGGGTTCCTTGGGCCCTGTATGTTGGCATGGAGACGGGGTGTGCCCCGATCGCAGTGTGCTGGGGTGTAGTCAGCAGGGTACCTGAGTATCCAGAGAGGAAAGGAAACCTGATGAGGCTAGAACAGGGTGCAGGGATGAAGAGCAAGGTCTTTCGCATGGTTGCTCCCCCTGCATGATGAACCACTGTCCCTTCCTCACCCTGCCAGCCTTTCTCCCCTTCGATGCTTTTTAGATGCTACAGGAGAGAATCAAGCACTACCTTTTCAAAGTCCCCTTTTCTTTGTATGCTTCGCTTGCTGCACACACATGCTAGGCAGTAACTGCTGGTGTCTGTCATTGAATCTCCCAAGTAACTTATGGCTCTTCAAGGGCAGGACGCTGGCCTGACTTACAGGTATCTGGTCCCTACGACCTGAACAACTTGGCCAGCACAGGGAAGTTATCCAGAAGTTCGCAAATGTATGGGCCAGAATAAAATCCAAACGCCCACTCTGCTCCTGGCAGTCTCAAGTGGTGACTTCAGTGGTTAAGACTTAGGTCTCTACAAGTTGGTCACCTTCCCCCCACCGTGTCTTCTCTGGTGCTTCATGTGACTGCCCATATCTCTTCCTAGGTGTTAACTCATCCAGAGCTGTGCTCTCCATCCTTATCCTCAAGATTCCTTAAGGCTCTGGTCTGATTTCTGACATACGCCATTAATAGAGAAGGGGGGTTAAGAAGCTTCTGATTCTTTCACCTCTGATAATTCATCATGGGACAGGCCCTTTGCTGCTGCATGCTAAATAACACTGCTCCTGCACCTTCTTTCTGGATCTCTCCTGGCCACTAGAGTCCTAGTGTCATCATCCCTCTCTCAAACTACCCTGATGGCTTCTTCACTGCCTGCTTGCTTCCAGCATTTCCTCTTCTGATCCTGCCTCCTGTCTGCAGCCAGAGAGAATGCCAGACACAACCTTTTCCTTCCCCTGTACAAAGCCCCTTGCTAGCTCTCTTATCTCACATGTTCAGGACTCGCTGTCTTATCCTTGCCAACTGCACCAGCTGCCTTTCCACTCCTACCCTGTAAAAGCCAGGCCATCTCCATTCTGTGAATGTGCCACCCCCACAATCTTTCTGCCTGTTCTGTTCTTCCCTCTTTGATGTCTCTGCTTAGCCTCTGTTCCCCTTTAAAGAGTTGTTCAGTATGCCCTCCTTGGTGAAACTGTCCTCATCTCTGTGATAGATTTAGAGGTCCTTCCTCTGGGACCCCAGCACAGAGGTATGCTATGCTGTAGTTAGTTCTGTGAACATTCTCTGCTCTACCAGAGTTCCTGGAGGGGATGGACGCTGAGGCATAGGCTGCCCTCACCTGCTGACATTGCCATGGTGGTGCCTGCGACCATGCCCATGGCTACACCGTTGGTCCTAGGGGCAGCAACAGGAGCCGGATAGATGGCAGAGGGAATGCTGTTGGGCTGGACAACCGTGGTATGGTGGATGACATGAGGCTGAGCAGCGTACACCGGCTGTGTGTAGTAGGCTCCCTGGAGGAAAGAAGCTGAGGTCATGTGGGCTCATGGAGACGTGCTGGGATGGGGGTGGGGCCTATTTTTCCCAGGTCCTAAGGTATGGGATGAGAGAACCACTGGTTCAGGGACACAGGTCCCTGCTGCAGTTCTGCTTTGCCTTTTTCCATGACTAGTCTATTCAATGTTGGCCATTCCCCCGTCCTGCTCTGCCGCTGGAGCTACTATGATTATCTAATGGGTTAGGAGCCCTACTCCTTTAACTCTGGTGTTAGCATTTTACTGTTTATGTTTTATGGCAATGTTCTCTTATAGCTACCTAAACTATAAAGGCAGAGGTAGAGTCAATCAGCTTCTAAGCACAAGAATGGGGCTGGGGAAGCCCAGAGTACCAGGCACATATGCAGAAGAGTTATCAGTGGTATTGTTACACTGGTGCCAGTACTGGCAGTTTATAAACCAGGAAACATCACTGTATAGCACTTTCCAAGATGTCTTTCACTATTCCTCCTTAGGCCCAAGGCAAGGAAAGAGCAAATGGCCTATGTAGATTACCTGGCTGCTTCCTCCCACCACAGCCCACTGGGCTTCTGGGCCCTGGAAGAGTACACAGATACCTCCAAGATGATGCTAATCCAGAAATTCTGTCTTTCCACTGAACAATGAGAACAGTCTCACTGTAACCCCTGAGAGTACTACCCAAAGCAGCTTTCTCAAGTCTGTTTTCCTTTATTTTTTAGACTAAAAGATAGAACTGTCATGCCAGGACAGTGCGTTACTCCAGCTGAAGGAGTGCAGATTGGGACACAAAGGCACAGAGAGCATAACTGGCCTGAAGGCACAGAAGGCGCTAGGAGCAGAGCCTAGGCACTGTTTCCCTACCTGATTTATAGGTAAGAAGGGTGGTGTGGAAGAGGAGAAAGCAGACCAAGATACTGTATGAGTCTCATCCTGATGCAGCCAACAGCTCACTATGTGACCCTGGATAAGCCATTCCCCTCTCTGGGTCTCTGCTTCCCTGCTAGTTTAACAAAAGAATACAGCTAGATGGTTCCTAAGGGCCCATGCCACTCTGATACTCTGGTCCCTGGTAATCTTACGACTTTATGCATTATCCCTCTGGTGACTGAGGCAGACTGAGGGAGTGAGCAGGCTGCAGGAATATTGCTTCAATGATGCCACAGTGAGCTAGGGAGATCCAGGAATCCTCTCTCTTGAGGACCCTGCCCCACCCCACCCTCCCCACCCAGGCTGTAGGCACCTCTTCCTGGGAAGTAGGCCCAGGTCTCCATGTGTACCTACCTGGGCATACAGGTTCTGCTGGGGGTAGGCACTTCTGATTGGATACATGGCCGTCTGATAGGGGTTGGGTGATGGGGAGTAGGGGGGTGGAGCAGTATTACTCTGGGTTGGTGGGACTTTGTACGGTGTCCCCGCAGTATATCCTATACCAAGGCAATAAGAGAGACCTCCAGTTATTTGGCAGAACAGCACCGCTGGAAGGAAGCAGGTCCCAGTCACAGTTCCCAATACAAAGAAGGGCTGAATCCAGGCTGGAAACACAGATGAGAACAAACAAGAAAACAGGGTTCCACCCAGACAGCCCTGGCCTCAAAGGCAGCTCTCTCAGTCCCAGTGCACAGGGGAGTGTGTATGATTCTGGGTATCTTTTGTTTTTCTAGGTTTCTGAACACTCATGTATAAAATAAAGAGGCTGGAACCAGACGGTCTCTTATAGGACCCTGCAGGAATATTGGGTTAGGATCCCTACTCCTTTAACTCTGGTATTAGCATTTTACTGCTAGCTCTGAGCTGACTATGAGATGGAAGCCCTTAACCCACTCTACTTTTTGCTGCTCTCTGTCTTCTTGCTTTTTCTGACTCCTCACTTTGTACCCCACATTATTTTTTGCTGCTGGTCATAGCTTTCTCTGCCTTGCTCTCCTGCTTTTTTTTTGGTGGAACTGGGGATTGAACTCAGTCCCTTGCACTTGCCAGGGAAGCACTTTTTCTACTGAGCCATCTCTCTAGTAGGGCTCTCTCTCTCTCTCTCTCTCTCTCTCTCTCTCTCTCTCTCTCTCGTTTGTTTGTTTTGAGACAGGGTCTTGCTATGCAGTTCAGGCTAGCATTGAGCTCACTTTGTAGCCCAGGTTGGTCTTGAACTCATAACAATCCTCCTGCCTCATCCTCCCAAGTGCTGGGATTACAGGCGTGCACCATCATGCCTAGCTCTTTCTTCTTTTATGAACTTCCCTTGACCACATTTGGCTCTGCCAGAGTATAAAAGGGAAAAGGCCATATAAAATACCCCTCAGAGATCCTCGTCTTCTGGGATACTAAAATCTACAGAGCTAGATTTTCCTCTTCTGGGACTTGAAGGAGGGTCACCTCTACCCCAAAAGCCTGACGTCAGAGATCACAAAGATTCACACTGTCATGGAACTCAGGCCACATCTGCACCTCCGAAGCATGGACCAAAGCTGGGGCTGAGACATCACGCATTAAGGAGCTCACAATTGGCCATGTAAACAAATGGTACTACCTTGGAGTACTCCGGGAGAAAAAAAATCAGACCTTATGTTCACAGTAAGAACTTGAATCCAAGTCACTCAGGAACAAGTGTCCTTACACAGTTCCCATGTGGAATTATCCCAAATTATCCCATGGTATCAGATAATCATTAAGTGACTTCAATTCTCTCATTTATATAACTTGAAGCTCGGACAGGACACATTTTAGAAATTTCTAAAGACCCTAAACTCGGGGCCGGGGAGATGGCTCAGTA